TTTGTCCACCCTTCTATTGTATTTACCACTTCAACTATATTCACACTTCAACCATATTCACCCTTCTACCATAGAAACCCTCTCACCATAGAAACCCTCCTACTAGATATACCTTTCTCTCATCATAGAAACCCTCCCACTATAGATTCTACTATAGAATCTAAATAGCATAAGAGTAATTTACTGTATTCTAATCTTATAATGAAATTGAATAAATTTATCAAATGATCGACTTGTATTCAAAACGATTCTATTCAAGTTCAAAATTAGAAATCTTCTCATAATAAGATTATGGGTAAGGAGGGTATTGTAACCAAAAGGCGAAAGAAATTAGAACCTGAAGGAGGGTAGCAAAAAACCTGTTGGGATATAGATGATTTTAATTTTAATTTTAATTTTAAGAACAGCTGATAATCTATATCGTCACAAATGGAGGGCTTAGGGGAATGATAATAGGGAATTGTGATGGAACAGATGGCTTTCTTCTATCCATTGGCTCATATTATATATATATATTAGAAAGTAATGCCCTATAGCGTAATGGAAATAACAGTATTATTGATTATTTACAGAAAGATATATTGTACAATGTATGGAAAGAAGGAAGTGCATAGAGTGGCCCTAACTATATAATGGATGAATGCCTAAGGCATCCATCTGAACTAGGGTAAGGCAGGGTAAGGTAGGGTAAGGTAAGGTAAGGTAGGTATAGATGTAGAACACGTGACATATAACCTCAACTTCCAACAATGTAGTATAATAAGATGGTTCTCTTGTATCTTCTTTTTACAGCTTAGAGCCCTAGCTCTATAGCTTTAGACCTAGATATCATACAATACTTATCTCTAATCTTTTTTTCACTCTTTTGGGCCTAGCCCTTATAGCTCCCAATACCTATATATATAGTCCTCCTTTTACCACCCTATATAGCTCTTCACTTGTAGATTCTAAGTACACAATCGGAGTCCTGTTTATACCCTTTTGGTCACAAAGGTAATATAAATCCGACTAGAACTAGAACTCTCAGAGTCTAGTGGTTTAGGGATCGATATACGGCTTGTTCTAGATATGCAACAATACTTTCATATACGCTTCTATTGGTCTGGATTAAATATTATTATTAATAGATTCCATTTAATATTGAATGTAAAGTATTAGTTAGACTCTAGGAATTGTTCTACTGTCTGGTTTTTAGATATACAACAATACTCTTACAGGGATTCGCGTTGGTGGAGCTAAAGCTGTCGCTTAAGGAAATATTCAATATGAGCTATAAGTTGACTAGTAGTCTAGGAATCGGTATACGGCTGGTTTTAGATATGCAACAATACCTCTGAATATACTTCTATTGGTCTAGAGTCTAGATCTTGAAGTCTAAGTGGTTATTAGAAGCAGCTGTATAAGTTAGATATGTAACAATACTTTTGAATATACTTCTATTGGTGTAATCGAACTCTATTAGTAGTTTTTGATTGGTATTCGATATAGAGCTATGAGTCAGATTAGGAATAGAACTCTAGAAGTTGTTATACGGCTTAGAGCTTGGATTTTTAGATATGCAACAATACTTTTAGATATACTTCTATTGATTTAAATCTTAGATTAATAAGAGTATTGAATTTGAAGTCTGAGTAGTGATTAGAAGCAGCTATATAAGTTAGATATATAACAAATCTTGAAACTCTACTTTATTCTTGATTGGATACTTCAATATACTAGTATCAAAGTCTGATATCTAAAATAATTATATACCTTTTGAAGAAGCTTCTGTATTAGAATTGAATATCTAACGATATCCAAGAATAGAAATCCAAAGTTTTTGTTATACAGCTCTTTGTGAGTTTCTATCTCTCATTTATTGCGCTATTACTTCAAGTTATAGCTTATTAGGAGATCTATAGAGATTTTGGTATCGCAACTAAACGCTGCTTCCGGCTAGTATTAATGAACAATTTCAAGAATTGTTGAAAGATATTTCTCAGAATAAACAAATTGAACAAATTATAAAATATTGTTAAATAATCGCAAATAAAAACATTGATTTTCATATAATGTTGTCTAGATCACGAGTTATTAGGTCTCTATGGCGAAAGTCGCCTGCCGCGCAAACAATTGTGATTCGGAAGAGAGACAACTGCGCAACTGCGTTATACTACCAAAGCGACAACCAGAACGATACAAAATCAAGATACAATGATCCAAATACCATCAATCTAATATTCTGTGATATTTGAGATTATCCAAAAGATATTTGTGCGCCAGACTGCAACGATATTCCCAGCATTCCGAGATTGTGGCAATGACGTCGTCTTCTGGCCCCGCAAGACCCGTATCACCATCAAATAGCTTCTATGCTTTGAGCGACGACGAGGAGGGCGACTATAATACCGTCACGCACATTGAGTCAGGTAAAGGAGTCAAACTATTGTTTTCCAAGAGCAAGGTAGTTATTCCCAACATCTTGATAATTTCGAGCAAGTGCGGGGTCATTCAAGCAGCTTATCACTTATCACTGACATCTCAACTACAACAACAGGTTTATATCCATCCTACACCATCTGCGAAAGATAATATTCCAGGATACATAGCTCTACTACAACAAAAGCCACCTCCGGATTCTCGTCCTACGTCGTCTTCCTCTCAAGATGCAAAACCAAAAGCCGCCGCTTCCTTGCTTCTTGCATGGCTCCCCGAATCGTCCCTTGGGGATGCCCTGAATACATATGTGAAGGTTGATCTTGCAGAAGGCGATTCTCCACCAAAACAATCATATCTCGTACCGCCTCCTCCAACCACAACTACACATTCTGGCTCGGTCGGACATTACGCTTTCGCCATACCCGTCTCGCAGGTTTACAGCCTACTCGTACGACCACCAAGTCTAGGATGGTGGTTCGGAAGCGTCGTCATCAATTCTCGAGTTGGAGATTCCTTCCCTGCGCTATTTTTCCACGATTCAGAATGTCAGTCTACGATTTTACAAAAGAAGAAGAGGACGAGGGAATCGTTTGATCCGTTTGGGGCGAATGGAGAGATGTTTTGGGGCGGTGATGAGGTATTGAGGTGGCTGAGACGATATGTGGAGATTGAGAGAAGTGGTGCGGAACCGAACATTTACTTGGTGGAACCGTCGGTTGAAGATAAAGAAGCGTTTGGAGATAAACCGGTCACATCTGCGCCGGTGAGAAGACCAACGAGTAGTGGTGCGAGAGTTGGAAGTGCTGCGGGTGCAGGTTCGAGTTCATATCGCAGTGCGCAAAGAGACGCGGGGATGGATCCGGTTACAAAGTTTGTGAAGGAGACGGGGTGGAATCTGATGGAGAAATTCAGCAAAGTCACGACATTTACTAGGAGGACGGCCGATTCAATCGTCGATAACCCGAAAGTACCTCCGCAGGTCAGGAGATTTATGAAGAATCCGGAGGTCCAAACATTACAAGAGGAGTTCGATAGTGCGAGGATATATTTGGCACGATGGGCTATGGGAATCGCAGAACAGAGTGAAAGGGATCGAAACCAGAGGATATGGACGGCGAGAGATGTCTTAGAAATGGAGGAAACAGATGTTGGCGAGTTTGAGTTATTGGAGACCGAGATGGGTTCTTTGACTATGAGGGAACAGAGAAAAACAGTAACACTGAGAGAGTGGAACAAGTTCTTCGATCAGAGGACCGGCAGATTATCAATTACAGTCGATGAAGTCAAGGAAAGGGTATTTCACGGCGGACTCGATCCAGATGATGGAGTTAGGAAGGAGGCTTGGCTATTCTTACTCGGTGTGTATGAATGGGATTCTTCGGCGGACGAAAGAAAGGCCGTGATAGCAGGTCTACGTGATGAGTACGTGAAGTTAAAGGGTGCGTGGTGGGATCGTTTAATCGATCTTGGAGGTGAAGGAGAAGAGGGGGACTGGTGGCGAGAACAAAAGAACCGAATAGGTAATAAACCCCAATATCATAATATATCCATGATTTCAAAAGGCTGACATATCCCATTTCTTGGGGTTCTTGCAATAGAGAAGGACGTTCATAGAACCGATCGTAACATTCCATTATTCGAGGGAGAAGACACACCACATCCAGATCCCGACTCACCATTTGCTGATGTGGGTACCAATGTTCACTTGGAGCAGATGAAAGACATGCTTCTTAGCTACAACGAATACAATCGTGACCTTGGTTATGTACAAGGCATGTCAGATCTTCTTGCTCCGATATATGCCGTTATGCAAGACGATGCGATCGCTTTTTGGGGCTTCCAACACTTCATGGAACGTATGGAATGTAATTTCCTCCGTGATCAATCGGGCATGCGATCTCAACTTCTTACACTTGACCACCTGGTTCAACTCATGGATCCCAAGCTGTATCTTCATCTTCAAAGTGCAGATAGCACCAATTTCTTCTTCTTTTTCCGCATGTTACTCGTTTGGTACAAACGTGAATTTGCATGGCTAGATGTTCTACATCTTTGGGAAATATTATGGACGGATTTTTTGAGCTCTGGCTTCCATCTATTTATTGCTCTGGCAATTTTAGAGAAACATAGGGACGTTATCATGACTCATCTGCAGCATTTTGACGAGGTGTTGAAATATGGTATGTTTTGCTCATATTTGATGCCCGAGTTACGAAGACGAGGGATACTAACGCATCAACAGTCAATGAACTATCTAACCAAATAGATTTGGAATCCACGCTTGTCCGCGCCGAAGCATTATTTCATCGATTTCAACGAACAGTCGAGGCCATTGATAAGAAATCAAGTTTTCCAAAGCCATCTGTTAGACGCCGTGGTACACAGAGCACACCGCAAGCGTCTGGACCTTCTGGCTCTAGCGGTGTAACTAGTGGTGCCGATACAGGAAGCGGCGCAATTGAAGGCGCCAGAAAAGACAAAGGCAAGAAACCAAATGGAGAATTAGAAGATATGCCCGAGAGACCAAAGGTTATTAGTAAGGAATTGAGAGATTTGTTGAGTAAGAAAGTGGTGGTGTTACCGAGGAAGGTGGTGAGGAGAGAAGGGGAGGGACTAGCCAAGGTACAGAAATAATGAGGGAAACATGGAACGAGAAATGGAACTGGAAATGGAAATGGATATGGAAATGCAAATATGGAATAGGCGTTGAGCTGAGGTCATAAGCGGCATATGCGAATGCAATTATTCATCACTTTATCTTTATGGGTTTCGATTTTGATAGGCGGAGGGAGGATTGAAAGTACATACTAGGTAGGTAATAGGGCTCGCGGGCACTGTAATGTCATATTCGAATGAATGAGCGAATGGAGATGGATTGTTTATAGCATTTCGATCGCACAAGTGTTATGGTTATATACGTACGATATCTTCACTGTTTCTTTATTTTTATACTTAAGTAGTGTTTACATATATATCATCACGTTTGTTTATTTAGGTACATATATGGATATGCATATACACATGTATATTCTCAATTTCTCGCTTTGATATTGATATACTCAGTAGTCAGTAGAGTAGTCTTCCTCTGCTTTTCATTTTTCATTTTTCCTCAGCAATCCATCGGTATTGTATTGTTGAGGATATTTCCAAATTATATTTCCAATCTGCCTGCTACTGGTGTATGTATATGTATATGTATATGTATATACTCGAGTACCAGATAATTAATTTCAACGCATTCATTCCCATGCTTGTGTGCTGCTTGCTTGCTTGCTGGCTGGCTGGCTGGCTTGCTGGCTATATTAGATGGTTACATGATGTGATATGATATGATATGTCTCTTTTCTTCTGTTTTTCTTTCTGTTTTTCTTTCTGTTTTTTCTTTTGTAAGGAGAGGGGGGGAAGAAGGATTGGCATTTCAATACGGTAGGTAGTAAAGAATTGTATGGATAGATGTATAAATGCTTATAGTGAATACCCCTCTCCCCCTCCTCACAAGGTACGCTGTGCGCTGCTGGTAGGGGCAGGGGTAGAGGTATATCCTTTAGTTGACATTCTGGTGAGATGGGTTTGTTAGTTCATGTGTACAGTGTGAGGGAGGTGTTTTGTGATTTGGGTTGGAGTTGGGTTGGGGTTTGGGGTTTGGGGTTTGATTGGAGTTGTGATTGTGATGGGGATTGGGTGGGAGGTTTTGATGAGAAAATGGAGATGGAAAATGGAGATGGAAAATGGGAAGAGAAATGTATAGAATGGAATCACATACAGAAAACTAAATAGATAGCCCAGTGTACTGGTACTGGTACTGCTACTGATGTTCTTCCCGTGACCGTGACCGTGGAGTCGGAGGCGCTCGGCTTCGGCTTCGGTTGTTGTGGGTGTGGCTGTGGGTTTGGATGGGGGGTTGGAGGTGCAGTTGAAGTTGTGAGGGTGCGGTGGGAGAGGTGTTGTGTTTCTGTTTGTTGAGATAGGTGATGCAGGAAATGGAGACATGGATGATGAAGATGAAGACAGCGAATAGATATCCGGGGGAATAATAACCCAGTCGTTGGTATCTTCTTCGGATTCGAGTTCGGGTTCTGGTTCTGGATATTGGTACTGGGGGATGGGGTGGTGATGAGGATTTGCATTTGAATTTGAAGTTGTATGGCGATGGGAATGAGAATGGCGACGAGAAGAATAGTAGAATTCAGACGCGGATATGTTGCGCGTTAAGGGGATAGGAGGTCGAGGTCGGTTCCGAGAAGGATAGGGGAGGTGCAGGTGAGAGATTGGGTGGTAGATTGGTGGCTGGGGGGTTAAACAGGAGGAGGAGGAGGATAATGATGGAGATATTGATGGAGATGGAGATGGAGAAGAAGATTCCGAGGGCGAAATGGAAAAGCTGGGTGTTGGTGTTGGTATTGATGGAGAATTAGATTGCGAATGCGATTGCGATTGTGGATAATTGGAAAAAAGTGCTTTGCTGAATGGGGGTATAGGTACTTTTTCTTTGTTTTTGGGGCGGGAGTGGGAGGTGGAGTGAGAGTTCGAGTTGTAGTTGGAGTGAGAGTGGGAGAGGGAGTGAGAGGCGAGTAGGGAGGTGTTGATGTTGACGGGGGATGTTTGGTCGTACTCGTGAGATTCTTGATTCGTTTTTGAGGGAGAGAGGGAGGGAGGGTGAATGTGGATTAGAGGGGGTGCTGTGAGTGGTGTGAGTGGTGGCGGGCGAGTAGGTGGTGGGGGGTAAGGGGGGAGGTTATCGGATGCGAGTTTGGTTGAAGAGATTGAGGAGGAGGACGATTCCTGGTTTGGAGTTGGAGATGGAGATGTAGATGGAGGGAGGAAAACCCAAGTTGGAGGACGCGGTCGATTAATTATTAGGGTAGGATCAGCAGTGGAGGCGGGAGTGTAGGACATCGTTTCGCTATATTTATTCCTCATTCTCGGAATGAAATGAAATAACTTTGTAGAGATCCAATAATCGCTACGAAGTTCCATTCAAAGTTTCGCTACCGTATTCGAGCTCCTTGAAACGCTAGATAGATTTCGCATGGACCCCAAAACAAATATACTCCAAGGTAAAGAAAGGAAGAGAGAATCAAATTGAAAGGTCGAAGGTAACGAAGAACGAAGAACGATATTTCTGAATTGATTATATCTCATGGGTATGTATGAAAAAGTTGAAATTGAAAACGAAATGTCGCTTTGGTGTACCGCTACCGGTACCGGTCGGTACTGGTATCGATTTTCTTTGTTCTGATCCGTGGATTTGATGTTTTTTTCTTTGTGTATATGTTTTTGGGGTGTGGATTTCGCACTCGGGATGTTTAGGAGTAGGAGGAGGATTTTTGGGGGCGCTTCTTTGTTTGAGTTCTGGATGGTTGCGGGATCTTTTGTGGGTGACAGGAGATACTGAGATGTGAGAGACAGGTAGTGTATAATGTATAGGGAAATCGTATGATGAGTAGTAATGGGTATTCACTCAAAAAAAAAGGAAAATTGATTTGGTGAGGTATCTACATTTGGGTTTGAATTTGTAAACTCACCACCATCACCCAGACATCAAAATCACTCAAAATCCAATCAACCAAATCAACCAAATCAACCAAATCAATAAATCAATCAAATTATGCTCCTTCGCTTTATTTATCTATCTACCCAACTCCAACCCAACCCATCCCAAAAAAACGAATGGTATAATTTCTTTCCTTCTTCATCTTCATTGATGCATGCATCCATCATGCTTCATATTAACTATCAAATCAACCATAGCACGCACTACTTTCCTTTCGTACAAAAAATTACAACGTCTTCGTTTTTCTCTCTTGGACCAAACCAATCCGAATCAATCCATCCATCAACTCTCCATGCAAAGACATATAATACAACTCCTCTCACACCCACACCCATCCCCACCCCTATCCTAAGCTCCCCCACTTCCACTACCCACCGCTTTATCACCCATAACATCAATATAACCCCTCCCCTTCTTCCCCTTCCTAACCGTCCCCTTTCTTCCTCCACTCGCACTAGGCGGACCCAATAAATCATCGATACTCGATGCATTACTCATACCCGTATTTGGTCTACTGGGCGGTGCACTGCCAGAACTCATCAATCCGGCGAGATTTCCACCCAGTGCGCTCCCATTACTTTGTGTTCTGATCATCGCGGGGGCTTTGACTAGTCCCCCGTCCACCAGCATTCCGCTATCGCTAGATCTTTCAAGAGCTCTTTGAGGTGGTGCACTCGCTGAGCTTACTGATCGTGGAGGTATTCTCAAGCCGCCTGCTACACTTGGCATCACTGTACCGCTAGCTGATCTGGGTGGGCCCGTGGTTCGTGGTGGAGGTGGAGTAGCAGATGGAGTGGGTATATTTTCTGCACCGGCCTTTTTGTTGATCCATCGCTTGAGATCGGGATCGTAGACAAAGCTGCTTTCCTCGCCAAGCTTAGCTCTGATGGCTTTCTTTTCTTGTGTAGCATCAATGGGAGCGGCTTCTTTCTTGCCGCCGCCAAACCAACCAAGACCCCATCCTTTCTTCTGTGAGGCGGGCTTTTTGTCTTTAGCAGCTAGGAAATTATTAGTATTATGATGATCTATAGAATTGGAAAAATGCTTACCGTCAGCTTCAGCGGCCTTTCGGAAAGCTTCATCGGCTTCCCGATCTTTCTCCGCTTTGGTCTTTTCTCCAGTACTTTCTGATCGTGCCTTGAGTGAAGAAATGTCATCATCATCATCCATGAAGCTCTTCTTTGGTTTTGTACCGATAGGGGAATCAGGTTGTTCCATCGAGCTAGGTTCATATGATGGTGGTTCGTATCCTGTGCCTGATGAAGGTGGCTCGTAAGAACTTCCAGTGGGTGGCTCATAACCAGTTGACGATGGAGGTTCATATCCATTACTAGATGCTTCGTAACCTCCCATAAACGGTTGATAGGTTTGTTGTCCATCGTAACTCATAGGCTGCGGTGAATCGAAGTTGGTCGATGGGATGTCCATTGCGGAAGGAATAGCCTGGGGCGTATAAGGAGAATCACCCCCAGTATATGGACTATAACCAGTGCTATGAGGTGTGAAATTGGAAGGTTGACTGTACTGTTGTGAACTTGGACGATATTCTGAGGGCATCTGTCTCTGCGGTTCATGCAAATTACGACGGAACTCATCGGATGTTCTACCCCCTTCGAACGAAGTTCGAGGTTGAGAACCATGGAAAGAACTTGGCGCTTCATATGACCCTTGAGGAGTATAGGCAGGACCTGGAGCATATCGTGAAGACGCCTTTGTTTGTTGACTTGATGAAACGATTCCATTAATACCCAAACCTCCCCCTCCATTGTAAGAGCTACCATAGATATCAGCAACAGACGGTGATCGACTTATGGTTGGAGTGCCACCAGCTATGCGTGCGAATGGGCCAATATCAGCCGAACTTCCGGCATTTGACGTAGCATCAGCGGCGTCCTTTTCATCGCCAGCAACGAACTTATTGAATGTTGCCCATACAGAACCAGAGACTTTATCAATGCTAGGTTTGGAGATCCAAGAGCCATTCTCATCCTTGGGTGATGATTTCAACCTCTTACTAAGATCATCAAGGGCCGAAACCAATTGAGCATGATGATATGGTGATCGTCTTGTTTGAGAAGTGATGGTCGAAGCAATACTCTCACAGTATTCTAGTGCCTTCTGTCGATGACCATACTCTGCAAGAATTGTGGCATGGTGTAATTTGTAGACCGCCAAGTGCGGATTCGAGGTCAAAATACTGGAAGTATTTGACAACGATAAGCCGTACTCATACACTTCACTTAAAAGGACTGGCTCCAATTCCCTGTCGAAATCAAAAGGCTGCCTTAAATGGTCAGAGCCGACGAGGATCATATTTGAAAGTGAATCATCAATGCCTCCGAATACAGATGTGCTTCGTGCGAACAAGAAACAGATATGTGCAGCCTCGGCCCTACCATAGCCGGAAAGAAGCTTGCCGAGAGCAGTCAAAGCCCTACTGTCATCTGTACTTCGGTTGCTGAGAACAAGACCAAGAGTCTCACGCCATCTATCGAGACCGTCAAGTGCGTCTTTAGAAGGCTTTGATTTTGCAGAAGTGCTGATCATTTGGAAACCAGCGCGAGCAGATGGTGAGACAAGTTCATCTATACTTTCTTCAAAATTACCCGCAAATATATCGTACAAGGCTGCGAGAGGTTCAGTGTTGTCACCGACGTTCTTCACTTCCTTTTTCACGAATTCTTGGGCAACCTGCTTGTAAAGATCTTTTGATACAGTGTTTGATATCAGCATTGCGTGTGCCCAAAGTCGTTTATCAACAGCTTCCCACACGGCTTTCACTCGCTCTCCCCTCAATAAATGCTTTCTCATACGATCTACAGCCGCAGGGTCCACAGGGTCAGCCTGTGCTAGTGTCGTGGATGATGAGATTCCGGAAAGACCTGCGCCCATTGCATATAACGGAAAGTCCTGCCCAGCATCATCGTCAATGCCTGGAGAGAGGACAGCCCTGACAGCTTTCTCAACAGCAGGATTACTCTCCAAAGTTCCATCATTCTCGATGAAGACTTGCAAGATCTTCCACAGAAGTAGACGTTCTTCGGTGCGTTTGTCTTCGTGAGACAGCACCTGAAGAGATCTCAAATAAGATGCACTTTGTTCCAGGATCTCAATACCAGAGGCCAACCAAGTAAGAACTTCCTTCTTCTTCACCTTACCCTTTAGTGGACCGGGGAAGCTCGTTAATCTGCTTTCTAATGGATCAAGATCCTTAACATTGCAAACCTTTACTGCTCCAGGGCTTCTAACAACCATGGGCATAGTTGAGTTCATACCATACCGAGGTATGTCTACGGGAAAAGACGTAACCATGGTACCTCCGACACCCCAAGTAAAAACAGGACTACCTTTCCATCTTTGTAAGGGATCATGTTCACGTCCATCTATAGGGGCAACATAATTAACTATGGAAGGCGCCCTAAGACGCCCAGGGACGTGGAATGATTGTTGAGTAGGAGTAAAGGCTGCCGAATTCCTAGGAGACAGGGCTTCGATAGAAGCAGGCCTTTGATACGGCTCAGGAATGCTCATTTCAAGTCGTGATCCACTAAAAGCTCTACCAGGAGATTGCGTGTGAGATCTTGGCGGTGGGACGAAGCCGTGAGCTTGAGCTGGACTAAGAGTGTTGGAGGGATATTGTGGCATGTATTGTGATGAAGGTGATGCTCGTTTTGGTGGTGATCTTCCCATACGAGCAGCAATACTTGAGTTAGGAGGTGGAGTTTGAGAAACGGAAGCCACTCCCTGCGAAGGTGAGGTAAAAAACTTCGGCTGTTCATTGTCTATGGGGGTGTGTGGCACGCTATTAACGTTCTCATCCACTTCTCTGGTAGGTGGAAGCGGGTGTGCTCTCAGACTAGGCTCGTACCCTGATGAACTACGGCGATCATAATTTGGTACCTCACCACCAGCACCATGTCCACGACCGTCTTGACTCCTCTCGAAATGAGCCAAAGGACTAGAGGTTCGAGGCAAATGCGGCAATATCGGCTGTGGAGGTGATTGAAGATTTGCTGATGGTGGTGGGGCATAGTGTGAACGTGAAAGAGGCGGGGCAGGAGAGTATCGGGATTGTGGGACTGGAGGTGGAGCGCTGGTTGATTGAATCAATGGTGGTGGCGCGGGAGAATAACGTGATGTTACAGAAGGTACAGCGGTTTGTAATTGTTGACCTGTAGATGGCAGAGAAGCGTACGGGCTCACACGCCCAGGGGCGACCAAGCCCTGCACCATTGGCGGCGATTGCATTGGGGGCTGAAGGGAGGGTGGTTGTCGCATAGTGGCCTCTTCATGAATTGGAGCGGAGTATGGTAGCTGGGCGGATGTAGGTGCATAGTTTTGTGGAGTTCCGGCATTCATTGACGGTGCATACTGAGAGGACACGGGGGCAATTTGATGTCTAGGGGCGACTTTGGGTCGGGAAAGAATAGGGAGGTCTTCGAAGAAACCACTTTCGGGCGCAGATTTTGGTGTCTGGGCATTCGGGCCAACGGGAAGAGTATTTACCACCGTTTGCTGCTGTTGTTGAAGAGGGTATGTACTTGGTGGTGGTACATTCATACTGCTGGCTCTGGGTGGAGCTGGAGGAGCTGATGCGTTGTATCCACGATTCATTTGGTTCGTGCTTACTCTTTTGCGAGGTTTGACAACTTCCATGGGCAAATCATAAGGAGATGCATAGCCTCCCTTCGCTTTATCGGCAAAACTTTGAGCCTTAGGTAATTCAGGACGTTGCTGTTGCTGAACGGGAGAATTTCCCATAGCGACTGCAGGGTTGAATGGTAAAGAAGTTTCTGGAGTAGTGTTTGATCTCGATAGATCGGTAAAGAAAGGCGCGGTAGGAGCAAAAGACTTGTTAGACTGTGGCCGGACTGTCGGAGCTGCTCCTTCAGGAGTATAGCGATTGCTAGCACTGCGTAATTTCGCCCCTTTGGCATCTAAGTCAGCCACGTGACCATTAGAGCCCTTGATGTGGGAATTGGTGGCATCAGTGATCTCCTCGGTATCATCTAAGAACCCCTCATCATCACTTCCAAAAAAGGCAGCTGGATCGACAGCCTTATCTTCAGCTTCATCATTATCATCATCATTATCATCATCTGGTAAGAGTTCGTCGTCATCATCCAGAAACTCGTCATCCAATGCCGCTTGCCACTTGGCCGTCAAATCCTCACTGCTTGCCTCGCCGATTTCCCCGCCTAAATCCGCCGGGAATTCGGAATCAGGGCCGTCGAATACATCCTGAAGGGCATTTTTCTGGAGATTCTCACTATCCGTAATCAAGTCGGGGAAAACATCTTGGCTTTTTGGTGTTGCCTCCAGCGTTCGGTCGTTTTGTTGTAAATGTAGGGAATCCATAACTTGCATGGTTGATTTTCTTTCGAGTGTTGGTTGACCTACATCTAATTCTTGAGGGACCGACGTGCTAACCTGAGTAAAAAAATCAACCTCTTTTTCTGCATTACCTGCATTATCTGTGGTGAACGTAGAGTGATTTGTACTAGCTTCCGCTCCATCAACAGGTTCAGCAGGTTGAAAAAGAGGAATTCCTTCCTCAAATCGTGCGCGAGATTCCTCATCTTCTTGCTCGACATCTCCACCATATGATTGACCATAATCTGGTGAATATCCCGATCCAGATTGTGTTGTCTGAGAACCATGTACAACTTCATCGAAAACATCACCCGGGCTTTGTTGTGCAAAGAAATCCCCTTCACCATCATGCGCCTCATCGAAGAACGTGTTACGTGGTGACTGTTCCACCTCATTCATAATATCTTCGGCTTGGGAATGCGGGATAGAGTGTAAGGTTTCTTGTTCGTGTATGGGAGGGACCATAGGGAAAGAATTCGTTCGATCGGATTTGGGCATCATCTTGAACGGGTCTGTATCCGTACGCGATAGGTTCCATTCCGGATCCACCTCATCATCCTCACCCCAATTCACCTCATGTGACGTCCTTGCAAAGGAATTCGTACTGACGTGTTTGCTATCACTCGAAGGGCCCGTGGTTGAAATGTCCACTTCATCTTCCTCGGTGGCAGTTGTGTCCTCTACTTCACGCGATGGACTCTCATCCAACTTTACACTCTCCGGACTTTCCAACGATGAAGTGAGCGCACTTCGCAGATCTGTCAATTCAGGATGTTCGGTGTCGTCTCTTCCCAATTCATCCGCGTCCACGTCTGATTCCCTCCCCTCATCCAATGTTCTGTCGTCTCCAATCACTGGCTCTTCCTCACTAACTGGCAAATGATTCGAAGACACCAGGTCAGCGACGGGCTCCGCATCCGCGATCGCTTGTGTAAGAGGTTTCGGGGTAATTATATCTGCAGTGGTATTTGGCATGAATGCTGGATGCCATGATGATCTCTCTGATTCCGAGGGCATCGCGATTCTGTTCATATCCTAGAAAAAAAAAGAGTTGAATACTGTACCGCAGACATTAGCATATGCATAGACATTTTCTTCTGCAATGACATGTACATGTATCATCAACTCAAGATTGGAGTCGCGTGAACAAAGGTATCAATAAGATACCAGTACTGTACAGATATATTGTTAGATATCGAAGTTAAGACTCACTTATACAAGGGGGATCTCTTTCCGCTAAAGAACAAAATCAAATTAAAAGGATGAGATATTTTTTGACTGAATGTTGATTCATAACTACAAAGTGTGTTTTGTTTTATGAAGAATTAATCAAATCGATGGTTCATACATTAAGGGAGTTCGGAAGAGAGTGAGTTGCCAGGTGAGGTTTAATCTAAAAGGGACTCGGACATTTACAAGGTCATGGTCAAGGAATAATTGAACTGTCTGTTTGAAGCGACCTGGCAAGTAATAAGGCCAGCCATTGACAATCGACGAATCACACGATAAAGAATTAATTATAATGATACAAATGATGGAAAACCTCGCATATAATATGAATGAATTCATTTACTGTTGAATTTTATTAAAATATAATAAATAGTAGATGAATGTAGGAGCAAATTGCGATATTTGTCCTTATCGCTTGCCTACTTAGGTACAGTAGGTAGGTCCTAGTAGTACTCCGTAGTACTGGATTACGACCAGACCAAGCAACTGTAACTTTAATAATTGACGACATAATAGAAAACAATAACTTTCCAACTAATTTTTGCATATACTGAAAAAGATCATAAATTAGTTTACTTCAACTCATCTTATGATCGCGAATTCAACCGCATCAATGAGGTATGTCTTCAAGTGCTGCATATCACCAGCCAAATCCACCAGATTCTCCAGTGGATGATGCGGATTCCGACCTTGAGCTGGACTTGCAGGAATTGGATCCAATATCTTCTCCCACTTCCAAACCATCAAATTCATCATCACGCAATCAGCAAAATTCAAAAGAAGACAGAAGAGGTCCTCATATCCCTTTAAGGAATCTGCGTATGAGTGGTCTGCGCAATTTTGGGAGAAATAGAGGATATGGTGATTTAGGAAAAAACAGGGATGCCGATACGGATAGTGAGGATCTGCGAGGTTTATTAAATGACGATCTTGGAGGGGATGGTATGGGGAGGACATCGGGAGGGAGTTCGAATGCCGCAGATGATGATGCGCCTCTATTATCCGGGGATGAAAGTGGAAGCTCTCGACGACGACGAAGACGAACGAGCTTTGACAAGGTAAAGAATATGTCATCGCAGCTACGACTCCCAAGTTTCTTGTCAGGAAATAACACCTCGCAGCCACCACCAGAGGAGGTAGACGAACAAGAAGAAGAACATGATCCAGCTTCATCCAGGACGATTCAGGTTGGTGCCGCGCAAACTTCACGATTTCCTCCCAATGCCGTCTCGAATGCGAAATATACCCCTATCAGCTTTTTACCACGAACTCTGTATAACGAATTTTCTTTCTTCTTCAACATGTACTTTTTACTTGTCGCTTTATCTCAAGCGATACCCCCTCTGCGAATTGGATACCTTTCAACATACATTGTGCCTTTAGCATTTGTTTTGGCGATCACCCTGGGAAAGGAGGCTTTTGACGATATTGGAAGACGGAGACGAGATGCCGAGGCGAATTCCGAGGGATACACTGTTCTATGTTTCGATAAGCCATCAATAGCAGATACGGACAAATACAGTGCCAGGAAGAAGTTGAAGTCCAAAGGAAAAGCAAAAAAGGGGAGATCTTTAGTGCAACCAGACCGCTTGTCGGATATACAAGAAGAAGAGGAAAATGCTGAAAGTCAGGGAAGAGATGCACCAACCTCGAGTGTTCGTGAAGTGATTCGAAAATCTCGGGATCTGAAAGTTGGGGATGTTTTGAAATTAGGGAAAGATCAACGAGTTCCTGCGGATGTCGTTATTCTGAAGAGTACAGCGAATGAATCTTCAGCTGCGGTACCACATGAACCTGCGGTGACCACTATTGCTGAGCCCTTCGAGTCTTTACTGGTGGATCCAATATCTGATCCTTCAATCGATACGTCTACTGCTACCAGCTCAGAAGCTCGGGAGTCAACATCCCAACTTGGTAATACACCTTCCGCAGATGCCGCTGGTGCTGGTGAGACTTTTATTCGAACAGATCAATTGGATGGTGAGACAGATTGGAAGTTGAGGTTAGGTTCTCCTCTGACACAATCTCTCGATCCATCCGAGTTTGTACGTCTTCGTGTTATAGCCGGGAAGCCTGATAGAAAGGTCAACGAGTTCATTGGCACCGTTAGTCTTTTGCCCAAAGGTACTGATGGTTACGATCCACATTTACCGAAAGGAAGAGTGGACGAAGATGATAGTCAGCAGGATGGAGATTCATCGCCCTTAACAATTGACAATACTGCCTGGGCTAATACTGTTCTCGCATCAAGTGCTACCACCTTAGCCGTTATCGTATATACTGGACCTCAAACTCGATCAGCACTTTCTACATCACCATCTCGCTCAAAAACTGGCCTTTTAGAAAATGAGATCAACTCTCTTACGAAAATTCTATGCGCGTTAACACTCACATTGTCTATTGTTCTTGTAGCACTAGAGGGTTTCGAGCATGTTGAAGGCGTCAAATGGTACGTAAAAATCATGAGATTCTTGGTATTATTTTCTACCATTGTTCCTATTAGTCTTCGTGTCAATTTAGACATGGGAAAGAGTGTTTACTCTTGGTTCATCCAACGAGACCCAGGAATTGAAGGAGCTGTTGTCCGCACTAGCACTATACCTGAAGAACTTGGTCGAATTGAATACCTACTAAGCGACAAGACTGGAACGCTCACACAAAATGAGATGGAGATGAAGAAAATACATGTCGGAACCGTCTCATATGCAAATGAAGCAATGGATGAAGTTGCCTCTTACGTCAAGCAAGGATTTTCGATTCCAGCAAATGTCAATCACTCTTCAGTACTTGTCACACCTTCGTCTGTTGCCTCAACCACCGTTACAGCCACGCGAACACGAAGAGAAATCGGGTCGCGTGTCCGTGATGTAGTTCTCGCTCTTGCTCTTTGTCACAATGTTACTCCAACAATCGAGGAATTAGACGGCCAAGATGTGACATCTTATCAAGCTTCTTCCCCTGATGAAATTGCGATCGTCAAATGGACAGAAGCTGTTGGTCTACGATTGATTCATCGTGATAGAAAAAGCATGCTTTTACAATCTGTAGATACTGGTCGTTCCGTCGTTCGTGTTCGTATTCTTGAAGTATTCCCGTTTACATCTGAAGGCAAACGTATGGGTATCATTGTTCAATTCCTGGATGGCTCTGAAACATCTACTAGCAGCAATCTCGAAGCTGGTGAGATTTGGTTTTATCAAAAAGGAGCTGATACCGTTATGACTTCAATTGTCGCTGCAAATGACTGGCTTGATGAAGAAACTGCAAATATGGCTAGAGAAGGTCTTCGTACTTTGGTTGTCGGGCGGAAGAAGATGTCAGTTCAGAACTACAAGGATTTTTCGCAGGACTACAAAGAAGCTTCGGTTTCCATAAACAACCGGGATGCCGGCATGGCTCGCGTGGTCTCACATTTCCTCGAAAAGGATCTGGAACTGTTAGGTGTAACTGGTGTTGAGGATAAACTTCAGAAAGACGTCAAATCATCCCTAGAATTATTGCGAAACGCTGGTATCAAGATCTGGATGTTGACAGGTGATAAAGTTGAGACCGCTCGTTGCGTTGCTGTCAGTGCCAAGTTAGTAGCCAGAGGCCAATACATCCATACCATCGAAAAACTCAAACGAAAGGACAACGCTCAAGATCATCTCGATTTCCTTCGTAATAAAACTGATGCATGCCTATTAATTGATGGCGAAAGCCTGGCATTACTTTTAACGCATTTCCGTACCGAATTCATCTCTTTGGCGGTTCTTCTCCCAGCAGTCGTTGCATGTCGATGTTCACCAACTCAAAAAGCCGATGTCGCCAAACTCATTCGCGAGTATACCAAGAAACGGGTTTGCTGTATCGGAGATGGCGGCAATGATGTTTCCATGATTCAAGCTGCCGATGTCGGTGTAGGTATTGTTGGAAAAGAAGGTCGACAAGCCAGTCTGGCCGCCGATTTTTCCATTGAACAATTCTGTCATCTCACCAAATTGCTAGTTTGGCACGGCCGAAACAGTTACAAACGCAGTGCCAAACTTGCCCAATTCGTTATTCATAGAGGTCTCATCATTAGTGTCTGTCAAACAATGTATAGTATCGCCATCAAATTCGAACCAGAAGGCTTATACAAAGATTGGCTCCTCGTCGGATACGCCACCGTCTATACAATGGCTCCAGTCTTCTCCCTGGTCCTCGATAAAGACGTGGATGAAAATCTCGCAAATCTCTACCCGGAACTCTACAAAGAACTCACATCCGGTTCTTCGCTTTCGTATCGTACATTCTTCGTATGGGTTTTCGTATCAATCTACCAAGGTGGAATGATTCAAGGCCTCTCACAAATCCTAACAGAAGTCGATGGTCCCAGAATGGTCGCAGTCAGTTTCACGGTACTCGTTTTGAATGAGCTTACAATGGTAGCTTTTGAAATCACAACGTGGCATCCAGTCATGGTCGTTAGTCTCATCGGCACGCTTTTCCTGTATCTGGGTAGTATACCTTTCTTGGGGGGCTACTTTGATTTGGAGTTCATCCTCACTTGGTAAGCTTGATCTTTTATTTTTGTTGAACCTTATCTATGCATAATGGTAGCGTGAAGCTAGAATCGATTGAATGGAAGCTAATGTAAATGCGTTTTAAGGGGTTTTGTGTGGAGAGTCACGGCTATTTCCGCCGTCTCGCTTATTCCGCCGTATGTGGGGAAATTGATTAGGAGGACGATTAAACCGCCTAGTTATAGGAAAGTTCAGGGGATTTGATGGGTTTGATTGATTGATGGATGAATGGACAGGCAGAAAATTAAGTGCTGTGGTGTAGTGATAGATTGAGTGAGCGAGTGCACTGATATGGGTAGGAAAAGGGTTTTGGTATTTGGGCGAGTGCAAGCATAGCATAGCAATGGCGTTTGGAGAATAAGGAGTTGGGAATAGGGAATAGGGAATAGGGAGGAAGAAAAGAACGCAGAAAGTGGGACAAAGTACAGTGGTGGTAGGGTAGGGTAATGTAGTGGTACTAGGAGAATTTCAATATTATGGATATTGTTATGTTACACTGGACTGGACTGGACTGGAACGAAACTGAATGAAATGGTAAGAAAATAATGGAAAGGAAGGAAAGGAATGGAAAGGAATGGGGTAGAACGGTAAGAAAAGAAAAGGAAAGAAATGAAAGGATAAGGAAAACAAACGCAAAACTGCGAATACAGGTAAGTAGGTGTGTGACTGAACAGACGGCTCTCTTCCGCCCACTGGCTCATACTACATACATAGTATGATATGACGGCTCTTTTGGACCTTCGTTTCACAGCTTAGAGCTCTATCTCTACAGCTCTAGACCTAGGCATTGTACAATGCTTATCTCTAGGATTCTTTCACTCTTCTGGGCCTAGCCCTTATGGCTCCCAAATACCTGTATATATAGTCCTCCTTTTAGCACCCTACATAGCTCTTCACTTGTAGATTCTAAGTACACAATCGGAGTCCTGTTTATACCCTTTTGGTCACAATACTCTACATTACAGTTGTAATGATAAGCTAGCTAGTGTATGCGCTAAGGCTAGCGTCAGTACTAGCGAGGGCACAATGCTAGGGTACGGCACGTGGTACAGGGTACAGTAGTACGCGTTCTAACAAATTTGGTCAATTTGGTCAATTTGGATTGTACTTCTTGAGCAGAACCGAAAAACATCTCGTCTGTGTAGTCAATATACTCCTCCTCATCGATCCTATCTTGACAAAAGATTGAAAGTAGATACAACATATACAGCATCATGATATATAAACACATTGGACCCACAGGAAACGAATGCACAGCAGCCAAGAAGTGCTTCAACTGCCATGGCCCCTTTGCAGTAGGACACACTGGATGCCTAGCAGCCCCAAAAGTTAACAAAGGGAAAGTAACTCGTTCTACCAAGAAAGAGTGTAACATAATCAAAGCACACAACAGAGCAGTTAATAAGGCACATGTGATACCAGAACCTAGCCCGCAGCGGGTCCAGGTAATAACATCACTACCTCCGTCATTTGGTGTATCTGTGCAAGTACAACTGCCTCGTCACAATAGGCTTTCCTTGAGTGCTCCGTCACTTTTTTGAGCAACAAGTAAATTAAGAATACCTATAGGGCAGGTTGTTTCAGAGTCCCAATGGGTAATCGCAAGTAATCGCGGGTTGATAGAATCACCTATATCCCAACAGGTTTTCTATCACTCCTCTCCAGATTCCAATTTCTTTCGCAATCTTAATTCTTATATTATCTTACGATACCAATACCCTTCTTATCCAAGATCTTATTATGAGAAAATTTCTATAGAATCGTTTCAAATGCAATTCGATCACTTAATTTCATTTTAAGATTATCATCTCCTCTCCTTACCCATTATCTTATTATAAAAAGATTTCTAATTTTGAATAAAATCGTTTCGAATACAAGTCCATCATTTGATAAATTTATTCAATTTCATTATGAGATTAGAATACAGTAAATTACTTTCATCTCACTGAGATTTTATATTAGAATCTATAATGGGAGGGTTTCTACGGTGAGAGAAAGGTATATCTAATAGAAGGGTTTCTATGGTGGAAGGGTGAATATGGTTAAAGTGTGAATATGGTTGAAGTGGTAAATATAATGGAAAGGTGGAGATCTATTGTGAAAGGGTAGAATCTATAGTAGGAGGATAGAATCTATAATAGGAGGCTAGATTCTAAGTGGTATGATAGTAATTTACTGTTTATTATATTCATTTAATTATGAGGCTATTTTATGATGCCTTATGTACTAGACTTTCTAGAATCTTCATTCAAGTTTATCAAGAACCAATAATAATAATAAGAGATTAAAGAGGAGTTATGAATAATTCTATTAGTCATCATATTCCTCTTAAAAAAGGTCTTCTTTCTTTTTGAAGTTGTTCAACTTTCTTCCTTCCTGATATGTCTCTGCCCCCCGAAGTTAAGCCTATTTACAACCCACATCCACATCAATACTTAAACTCTTTGTATTCATTCCAAAAAGGAATTACTTGGTAAGTACACAAACCAATACAAACTTTATCTATTCAACATTCATCAAAATGGATTTCAATCACCCTTCTTCAGAGTCAGAATTCAGAATTGTTACTAACAATGAAGAAGAAACAGAAGAAGAAATGGCGCAAGCAAGAGCGATAATGGAATTGCATAATACATTGAAAGAGGTGTATGAGAGAGAGATTGCTTCCATAAAAGCAACACATATTCAAGAGCTTGCTTCTATGCAAAAGACATATGAGGAAAAGCATGATTCCATGCAAGAGATGCAAGAGGAAAAGCATTCCATCCAAAAGATGTACAAGAAAAAGCTTGCTGCCACACAAGAGATATACGAGGAAAAGCTTGATTCCATACAAGCAACACAAACTCTCGAGAGAGCTTGCTTTGTCTTAGTTATTGGAATTTTAATTGCATATCTTCTTTTTAAACAATAGTTATCAAGGTAAATCCTCCTCTTCTTCAAAACAATCGGAATATAGCTAACTGATACCTTTTTTTTTTTTGAAGAACTCACTCCTCCTTTTCGCATTATTCATAATCGACACTCCTCTTTTTCGCATTCCTCGCAATCGATTTAAGACTCAAGCTTTGCTTTTCGAATACGCAATGTTTGATTGGGGAAAAGGGTCAAAGATGGCAATTTGGTATTGGAATAATAGGGTGGATGAAGTATAATAAGGGTTGTGGAATTTTGCATGGATTTTAAGGAATTTCATTGGAGAATCTCATTCGGAAGGATCATTTGGGAATTTCAGTAGAGAGGATATTTTACCAAACAATATTCTCATCGTTAATACAATACTTGATTCTTTCCTCTTATATTCGTGCTAGTCTCGCTTGAATTCTCGAAAGTGATAATATAATCGTAAATGCGATAAAAAAGCAAAATATTCGATTCCTGCTTGCTGAAGATATTGTGGAAGAAGGCATACTTATCAGAAACAAGAGGTTTTTCTGGAGTAAGTGTAGTCAGTAGCTTTAAGGCAGATTTGTTGAGATTCTGATTAGTTTTTGTAAAAACCTTTTTGATGGTAAATATCTCATCTTTTCTATCTTGTATCAAAAGTCTTTGATCAAGCAATGAATCTAATTCCTGAACAATGCAGGTAAATAGTTCATTCTTTGGGAACCTGGTATAAACAATTTCGAAGGCGTGAACTGAGATTTTGTGAATATTTAAGGTCATAGCCCAGAGATTTATCAAAGGTTCTCCTATTTAAGGGTACTTTTGTACAAGGGATATCAGAGATCGAGGAGGTGATTCTGGTCTTCTTGATCTATACACTAACCAGTGAAATATCGGCTAGCCTGATAACGTCAGGGCTAGAAACGATTTGATTGGTTGGGGTAACGACAAGAAACCTTTTAAGGGGAAGGCCTTGAAAGCATTTTCACCATCGATTACTGTATCTCATTGAATAGTATCTTGCTAATGTTTTCTGTTGATGGTATTACGAAGATGTATAATCTAAGGATCAATGTAGAAGTATTTGGTATAAGATACCATAAAAGGATAGTCTATACACCACTGAAATTATCAGTGATAACAATCTAAGTCAATATCATAAATATCTAATCATTAATAACCTAGAATAATAGGATAATACCCCAAGGGGAGCACCAGGAAAGGAATGTTATACTGAATACATTTATTGATTATTAAAATAAAGTAAATAACATAAGAAATGTATGAATCAACAATGTTATTATACCTTTTGATAGATATAGGAGTCGGTAGCTTTTATATAACTGATTTTGTACAATAATCAAGATACTTTACCAGGTTCTAATTGATTAAAGTATAACCATTAGTTTCAGAATCTATTAAACCTTGTATTTTGAATGCAATACCATTCTTTATCAAAATGATTAGAAAAAAAAGATAGTGGCTACCTATAAAGATATGTAAGTCAAGGTATGATATATCCTGTATTTGTCCTATAAAAGAAACAATACTTATAAAATATCTTTTTTTGTATAAGGTAGAAAATCCTTAATTTAGTTAATTTGATTGATTTGGTTAATTTGGTCAATATCTTGATCACCATAATTGTTATCGAACTCTTCAATATCCAACTCGGGATTTATCTCGTTATCAACTTCATTGATAACAGCAGAGGTACGAGGTATATATTAAGGAGTAGATTATTTAAAATCAGAGGTAGGAACAGGAATAGAACTATTTAAATAATATTGTGGAGTGAGGACAGGTGCAGTAGAGGGCAAATAATACAGCATACTAAAGGATACTACTGGTCTGTTGTATATTTCAGGAATACTACTACAAAATATTGTAGTACTAAAAATGGAAGGTAATTGGGTAGGGCGAATACCCTGAAAAAAGTAATAAAAATGGAGAATATGGATTATAGCAAGTTTTTGATAAATAATATCAAAATTATCTAAGACTTCAATATATTCATTAATTATAATGGAACATGCAAACTTGTGACTAAAGATACTTATCAAATGATATACTACTTTGTTGAATAGATCGTCATGGAGGTGTTTATTGTTAAAGATCTCTGCCTAAGTGGCAAAATCACGAAACTTGGAATAAAAATCGAAGAATCTATCCTTGGGCAATATAACAAAAGAATTGCATTTGATTTTGATTGTTTGAACTGTAGAGGGGTCTAGTATAACAGAAACTATTTACTGAATAAGGTTATAAACAATATATTTATTATCCAAGTAGAGAGGTTTCAAGGTATTATATAACCGTCCTTTGGTTTGGTCGAATAACTATATGCAGTGATGATCTTTCGAAAGAAAGTGAGCGTTGTGGCCCCTTAGGACTGTTGTTACCATTTTATCCTATGCTTGTACTCGGAGATCAGAAGCTTGGCCATCTAAAAGTTTTGTGGTTAGGCCAGGGATTCTGAGTTATCGGAAGGAGGAGGGCATGTTAAAGGTAGCTTGGTAAGCTTTCTCATAACGAATATTTGTTTCTGTATCTGGCGTCGATGTGAAACTGATAGTATAATGAAAGCATACAGGAATGGAAATAGAACAACATAATCTTTGGTTTTCGATAAAAAGGACAGGCTTATTTTTAAAGAGGGTATCATTATAATAGGTATAGTATAATGTAGTAAGGTCAAGGATCTGAATAATATAACCAAGAGAAAAGCGGGAAATATGGGTTAATAAGGTTTGTTTATCAGATATTCCATTTCTATTATAAATGAGGGTAAATAGAGCATCTTTTTCTGCTAATTTAGTCTATACTTCCTTTAGTCTTTGTTCCATTTTATGCAAGACCCGTATTAAATAGATATTATCAGTTCAGCTCTCTATAAATGTGGAGGATTCTGAAATAGGGGAAGTAGGTAAAGAGGGGTAAGATTCTAGTTGTTTTCTAGGATTGATTATAATAGTTTTTTGTGTCTTTTTTATTAAAGAAGAAGTATAGGGTTTGTTATCAAATAATAATTTAAAAAGGAAAGGAAGAGAACAATAAAGGGCACCAATAGTTTTTATAATCCAAAAGGGGTACTAATAGTATTATACTTGTAATTAAATGAGTCACGCTGATTTTTGTTATTACTAGAATCAGAAGTGCTACTTTAACCTTTCTTTTTTGAAGGAATTATTGTGTTATCAATTTATTAACAGAAATCTGAGATTATTGATTGATATGAATTCTTCACTTTTAGATAGTGTTGATATAGTTGGTATTAGTTTTAAGAGGGAGATTTGGAGAGATTTAACAATTATCCTTAGTTGTAGCTGTAAATATTAATTTGTAGATAATATGATCAAAAAGATATAAATAGGACT